AACCAAAAATACGGTGTGGCATCAAGCTATAATAAAAAACAATAAAAAATAATAATAGTGTTTCTTGTAATGCAACTATCGCCGTATTGTGATAAGTATCAGATGATAAGAAAGACTGGAGATGCATAATTTTGTTGCGAAGTGAACGGTAGTTTGAACTGACAATAACAGGAATAGTTGTGCGATATAAAGGCGTCCGTTTGAGAGCACGTTGCCAAACACCATGATGTTTTCTCTTAGTTTTATTAGATGCATGAAAATCATATGGTTTAAAACATTTAATGAATTCATTACTGTATTTGATACGATTTGTGATCATATTTTGTTAAAATGAAAAATGAAAATATGATGTATTAGATGCAAATATGTAGATGTACAGAAAGGTAGCCCAGATGTCAAACAGGCCGCAGTAATCTGAGAAATTCTTTTCAACGAATTTATTACCAGTTCGCCTGCTTCTTTAAAGCCATATATATCAATCATTCGACACAATGTCTGTCTAAGACGGTACAAGAGGACTACCCTGAATGTTTACGAATGGATTGATATGCAGCTATAGGTGGCGCAATAATTGAACGTCTATTCGTCGTATCCCCACAACCTCTTTCTTTTGAGTTATCTGTTAGGCGAAAAATGAACTGCTCATGTTTATTGTTGAAGCGAAAGCAGAGCTAGGTATACGGAGGAGGCTTGTTCAACCACTACTTCCTTCCTGACTTCAACCTGTTTATGCTGAAATATTGCAGTCTCTATTCTTACTTTTGGCTTTAGTTTAAGACACCTACTTATTTACCTTCATTTTTTGCAATGTTAAATTCTACTTTATCAAACTTCTTACCTTATCACATACTATTTCATTCATCTACTGGTCTCATCCTTCGAAAGATTCCTATATCCAATGATTTAGTAAATTTGTTTCAGTTTAGATTTCGTCACGAGATAATACCAACTACAGATTGCTGAAAACCAGGGAGCACTGAAGAGCTGTTTCGTCCCAACTTCGGACTATTCAATAGCACATACCCATGATCCCACAGCTCATTTTTAATTATGACTATAATCAGAGGTATTTCATTGTTATTCACATTATTATTATTAGTAGTAGTAGTGTTGACACCTTTTGTAAAGGTTTTCTCATGAGATACAGCTTCTTAAAAATCATATCTATAATTGGACACTGATAATTGGTGTCATTTGTGTAGTCCTTGTTGTCACTGCAGACCAAATTCTGTCAGTCAACTTTACAATGTGATAACCATGTTAGGTCACTCGCCATCACGATACACTTTTGAATTATCGATATTAGATGGGTGGAGGTGCTCGTCAGGAAGCTTTGCTTGAACTAGGTTTCATGCTATCTGGCACTCTTCGACAAGGTGTATCTGCAACCTTGATGGAACCCATGTGCCTTCTGAGATTCGGACTTGTATCACGCCGATTGCCTTCAACTACCTAATGCCAACAATTCAGAACTATATAAGATTGTACAGCTTCAAAATAATTTCACTGATAAAGATCTTTTCAGTGACCTATTCGTCCTCTTTCTCCCTATGTCTTAATAATGGTAATTTCATACGGATTTGAGTAAAACACAATTATACGTAACACCAGTTAGGAAACTAGTTGAGAACTTGAGAGTACTGAACGACTATTTCGTCCTAATCTTGGACTCTTCATCACTACGCACCTACCAGAGGGGTTTGAACCCAAGAACTTCCTATTGCAATTCAACCCCATAAACCGTTCAGCCATTGTGACCTGTTTCAGTGACTCATGAATCTTAACTTCCAGTATTTCGCGAAGTATATGTCACAACCTCTAGACAGTTTTATAGTCGAGTAACTGTTCTCTTACCTGTCTTGTTGGTGGACTCTTAACCACTGGGTGCGTACTGCTGAAGAGTCCCAAAAACTAGGATGAAATAGTTGTCTAGTACTCTAGTGTTGGTTTTCCAATTGTGTCTCTAACTGATGTCTACTTTTAATCAAACCTGTAACCTTTCATCAAATCCCTGAAAACTAGCATTCAATATTTATGCCTAGATTAATCCTTTGTGAAGACAGACACTAAAGAGACAATGTGTATGCTGACATAGGTTTACAAATAACCTGTAGCGACTCCGACTCCTGAGTGTATTCCTCCAATGAATCGAATACATTTCTATCCAAGGATAATTCTGAAATTGCATTCTCATCATTAGTCTGACTAAGACTAGTGATGACTTCATCATATTGATCAGTCATATTCTTTAATTCTTTTTTAAAATCCGTCAAATTTTCAGAGAATAATTCAATAGAATTAACTGACTTCAGCATATTTTCAATGTCATATAATGTTATGGTTGTTGTCGAAGAATCCTGTTTCGGCGTAGGCAGTTTGTGAATTGAATATTGAAATTGTTTTATTGAATTATTCAGCTTATCAACAATATTTCGATGATTATTTTGAACAGTGTTCAAAAGTTGCTGATCGTACAAATGACAAAATAGATAAAAATAGAGCAGAGGAAACAGAAGAGATAATAATTTGACGATAATGAAATAATTCAGAAAATTTCAGAAATCATAAAGAACGTCTAATATCAGAAGCACTTCATATCATCAAATGGAATCCAAATTGTCTGAATAGGAATGATGGAATAAAACAGAATTTGACCTGGTTACATCACCTCCCTCCCACACGAAATAACAAAATCAACACGAATGTGATAAACAATTTCATTATGTAAACATATGCTGCTTTTACAATTTTACACACTTATTAAATCCAACAATATACACCTGGTTTTGTTATCTTTACCAAATGGTCAATTTGACAACGCAAAAATGATCCCATGCTGAGGAGTGATGATTAGGTCGTTATATATAAGCTGAGATTTTGTAAATTCTGTTTTAATAATACTACTCTGATAAAGCTATTAGCATTAAGTAGCAAAACGTCAGTAAGAACAGCTATATCGTTTTGTTTTTTCATTCATTCATTGGGAAATACAAGAAAACCTTTATTATAATGAATATAATATACCCAATGCCCAAATCTTCTTAAACTGTTAAAAGTGAACTTGGTTTAGACATATAAAAGATAGTAATTTGGCCTAGAAAAAGAAAAGTTGTTCCGGATTACTGACTAATGTCAAAGGTCGAACCATTCTTCACAAGTTAGTTACCAGTGTCCGATTAGTCTACGAACTTGATTTTTAAACAGGAGGTTTTGCGTTCAAACCACCCCTCGTTGGCGGGTTGGGGTACTGACGATGAGAGCTAAATTAGAGAGAAGTAGCTCTCAAGTACTCACTGATGGTTTTCAGTGGTTCTCTCAATGATAATGACTACTCTACAGTGAACAACTCATATATACTTTTTAACTGCTGTTTTGGTATAAGGTATAAGGTTACTTATATGCTTAATGTTTTCGAGTTCATTTGTTGTTTTTTCTCAGTCAGATTCATATTAGAAGTTATATCTGTGTCTTTATACAGCTACAGAGTTATTTAAAATAAGCAATAAAAGTTAACGAGGCAGGATTTAATAAATTCATCACTAAGACATTTAATCTAACAGTACAAGTGTGAATAGAAAACAAAGACTCTGAAGGATATCTTATCTCAGTATACCCGAATGAAGTGAGCTTCAATAAAACTATTCAAACAATTCTAAAGACATTTGTATACAAAAGTGTACCATTAAAAGAAAATTATGTACAAACGAAGACTCGATAAAGCTGTCAAGAGAATTTGTTCTGCTGCAAAACTCGTCCTCCTTAACACCACTAAACGGGTACTTCAACAATCTTGGGAGGACCAGTCACCAACCCTCGACAATTCACACTGCCTTTATCATTTTGACTGGTGTGTTTGTGGAAGCAAATATATAAGTTTTACAGAAAGACGATTGTCTACTCGTCTCAGGATGGAGCATTTGCTAAATTGGTTGAAAACAGCTGCAGTCAAAGTGCCTAAATGTTCAATAACAAAGCATCTTGTGGACTAATTACATGATAGTTATGCTCTCTCAAGTTATTTACACTGTTGTCAGCAGAAAAACAAACGAGGAGATTGTGGAGGCTTTTACAATTAGGGTTTATGAACCACGTATCTCTGTGTGTACAAGAGGAAACAATCGTCACTCTGAATCTACCATGGCAATCTGTTTTACTTATCAACTGCTATTATTATTAATATCATTAACGCTTTGTTATATCTCTTATTATTACCATCCCTCACTCATTTAAAACTGTCTTTCATCGGTAGCATTATCTCAATGCGTTTTAACCCTATTGTAAGTGTAGAACTTGGACACTTCGGTAGAATGTAATACTGCGTCGTATTTTAATTGGACACTAGTAACTAGTGTGACGTGTCTAGTCCTTTCTTTGGTGCAGACTGAATCATATCCGTCAGGTTTGCAATGTGGCCACCATTCTAGGTAGCTCACCATCATGGTTCACATTGATTTGATGATATTAGATAGTTGGAGGCAATTGGCAGGAAGCCTTGGACCAAGGTTTCGTGCTAGTTGGCACGAATCAAAGAAGGGACATGAGTTCCTTCAAGATTGCAGATACGCCTTGCTGTCGAGTGCCAACTAGTACGACACCTAGGTCCAAGGTTTCTTGCCGATTGCCTCCAACTATCTAATATCATGAAATGCTGCATCGTTATAACATTATTATTATTTTTATTGTTACTATTATCAGCACTACTATTTTTTTATTCCCCTACGTTCCTAATGGAACAAAGGGCTTCAAGATAGAGGCTTGAAGTTTCTGTAGCAGTGGTGATTATTTTTACAGGATGGGATTGCTAGCCTCATGCCCAACCTTTCCTCTTTACCAGTCTTACTACTGGATTAGCGAGGTAAAGGAGTGCGTCTGTAGCCGGGGATCGAAGCCAGGACCACCTGCGTGGTCGGCGGGAACTCTACTGCTGTGCCACCGACCCACCGCATTACTATTATTATCAAGATTATCTAGTTCACAATTCTTGATATACGCTCAAGTTTTTTCACTCACTGATAACCAATTTTCCACTTAAGTGGTGGAATCGAACCGTAATGCATTTTATCTTAATTTTAAATCTCTCCTAGAATGTAGGGTATTCATCAGGTGAGGAGGTGTTCTACCGAAATTTGATGAATCCATCAAATTCTGCTTTATATCAAAAAGATTCGTTACTTGCTATAAATATGTATCAAGAAATAAGTGTTTCCCATTTTTACGGAGATATTCTTCAAGCTGCAGACGACTACATTTCTTCAACTAAAGAAAGACGAAATTCATGAAATCCCCCCTTCTTACTTATAAGTGACGAAAAGATGCCAGTGATAAGATGGAGACGTTATTCATCGAGTGACCACTTCTCAAAATATTAAAGTTACTTCTATACCAACTTCCATTCCAGACTGTGGACGAAGGTAGACAACATGAAGAGATTCTAAAGTGATACAAAAAGTCTCACCATTTCGACGATAAGCAGGAGATGATAAATGTAAAGAGGTAATCAACAGCTTGAGATGAAATTTCGAATCAAACTGAATTCAGTCAAACAGCTATTGGATCCACATTTGCCAACATTCCAAACACTGGTCTCTACCAGTTCGAAAAGTCTCCAGTTTTTCATATATGACTAAAGTAAACTCTTCATTAACATCTCAACTGCTGACAATTGTCTGTCTACTGTTATTTTCTTCGGTCAGCGGTACTAATAACACATATATTTGACGCTGACCAGTCTTCAAATAGCATGCTGCATAATTCACAGTGTCATGATAAGTTTTTACAGCTGGTAAACATTCCAACTGTAGATTTTGATAAATAGTCATTCATTAGTTAGTTAGTTGAGCCAGTCCCCTGACAGTTTCATCAAACACTACAATTTCTGTATTGCTATTACTATTGTTAATATCACTGTCGTTATTGTCTCTACTTGCAAATAGATGACACCTATACACAGAGAGGACAACTGGTCCAAGATGTCTACGTAAGCAGCTCATTTCGCATTGTATATTGTTAAAATGATCCTGTAGGAAAAGAAGGAGAAAAAAATATTCATATAAGAAGACTGTGTTTAACTGATATGTATACATCCTCAGATATTTCTCAATGTTGCCGAAGATAATTGAAGGAATACAATCTCAATCTTTGCTCGAAAAGATCATATCCAGTTTCTCCGAACGGATCTGGTGGTGATGAAAACTGCAAAGACTGGTCCAACACCAGTACCAACGGAGGCAAACTGATACCGATGTTGTGGATAGAGTGGTTAGGAGACTCTATAATGACTATGATGCAGCTATAGAAAAAACTCTACAAGTGTGATTGTTTTTCACTGGATTGTTATGAACTCTTTTTAGTGTAAATATGTACTCCTTCATACTGAATTATTTTTAACTTGATTGATTATTGTTTCGTTGCAAATATATGCTTTTGTGTCGACTATCTTTGTCATCCTGTAGTTAACCGCAGCAGTTAGGCAAACATGCATTGCTTATTTTCAGCACTAAATGCATTATTTCAGATGCCAATCTTATTTGTAAAATTTTGTCGCATTGATTAAGTACTCAGCTTTCTTTTTAAGCACGACCAGCGTTATTTCAGAACACAGTGGGTAGATGAAATCTTCATTTAATATAAAATGACATTATCGACGCGTAGGTTAGAATAAGTTTAGAATTGTTCTAAGCTTGGGTCATTCTCAGTAACTTTGCAATGTCCTCGAAATGATCAGTAAAAGAAACAAAGATAGTCGACACAAAAGCATATATTTGCAACGAAACAATAATCAATCAAGTTAAAAATAATTCAGTATGAAGGAGTACATATTTACACTAAAAAGAGTTCATAACAACCGTTACATCGCGAATTAGTCAGATTCAGTGTAAAAGACGTATTTAGCTTTTGTGGAGACTACCAAAATCCTGAATTTAAAGGGAAAGAAAATGATGTCACTGGATGTAGCATCATTATTCACCAACGTCCCACTGCTTGAAACAGTCAACTACATATGTGACCAGCTGATAGAAAGAAAGATAGATGTAGGAATCCCATCCGAAAAAGTCAAAGAATTATTATTGAAATGCACTATGAATGTTCAGTTTATGTTCAATAATGGTTTTTATAGACAAGTTGATGGTGTAGCCATGGGATCACCTCTGGGCCCTATGCTAGCGGATATTTTCCTGGCAAAGCTTGAAAACGGTCCACTTAAAGACACGATTAAAGGGTTTGACTATTATTGTCGATACGTAGATGATACCTTTATCGTTTGTGATATAAATCTTAATAAACAAGAGCTTCTAAATGCTGTTAATAGTGTTCACCCAACTATTCAGTTTACATGTGAAGAAGAAGACAATAACAGTTTACCTTTCCTAGACGTCCTCCTTACCATGAAGACAGACGGATATCTACAAAGGAAACTATTTAGAAAGAAAACTTGGACGGGTCAGTACACTCATTTCCATAGCTT